CGATGATAAGCTTTGGTCGCCAGCTGCGGGGTCATCGTTGTTGTTGCTGGGGGGGGATGGTGTGTTGCTCATGAGGACGGCTGGTACTGGTGCGCACCACCAGCTGTACGCTGTACCGATTGAGTAGGGTACGCCGGTACACTGCTGTGCTGCTCGTCTGCTTTTGCTGTGCGTGTGTATGGCGGTATCGGGTGAATGTCATGCCTATCTTCCCGATTAGCCCGATACCGGTACGCTCGGTACCGGTATTTTCGGTAAGGTATTTACATCGCACCGAACGTACCGAACACTTCGGTAAGGTATTGAAGTCCGTACCGAACGTACCGGTACGTTCGGTGAGGTATTCAAGTCCGTACCGAACGTACCGAGCATCCCCGTATGGTATGGCTGTCCATACCGGTACCGTACCGAACATGTTGGTATTTGTAACGAACGTACCGAAAACTTCGGTAAGGTATTCAAGTCCATACGGAACGTACCGGTATTTTCGGTAAGGTATTGAAGTCCGTACCGAACGTACCGAACACTTCGGTAAAGTATTCAAGTCCATACCGAACGTACCGAACATCTCGGTCCGGTATACCGGAGGTATAATACCGCTGGTACGCCTCGGTATGTACCTTACCAAACACACCCTTGAATATTAATTACACACACAGAAAAGAAAAGTTTTGATCGACTGAGACCCAATCACTACCACCGAGCTGGGGAACAAACAACAGAGCGGCTGTTTCTACAGGTAATACCGGCCGGTATGTAATACCGATCGATTCCATCAAATAAACTGCCGAGCGGGTGTACACTGACTATCATGTCACAATCGAGTCGCTACCGATGAGCGAACCGAGAACCAGATGGACGAATGTTTAGTCTATGTACTTCCTCTGTATCATAAGTTAGGGTACCTAAATTTGTACGGGCCCTTAACCGTGTCCGATCTGTTTTCCGATTTTTTTGTTGAAATCTTCGGAGTTTTTTTAGCAAGAAACATTTATTTTTATTTTTATGCATGCGCCACCCCGCGTGCATGATGAGCGGCCGAGAAAAAACCAGTCGGCCTGAAAAAGGCCGTATTTTGCATGTATCCTGCCCCCTCCGACCAGGCGGGGGGGGCGGGGCAATGACAAAAACAAGGTAAAAATACCAAGAATTATCCCTGACCCTAGACCTAGCCCCCCCTCTACTCAACGATCCATGATGCGTCCCCCGTACTAAAAACAGCATAATAGTGGCCCCACACTGAAAACAAGACACTTGGGGTGACCACACTAAAAACAAGACACTTGCGGGGCAAAGCAAGCAACAGTAGGGCCCTCATCCAACCCCCCCCTCTACTCAACGATCCATGTCGCGCCCCCTATACTAAAAGCAGTATAGTAGTGAACCACACTAAAACCAATACACTTGGGGGGGCACACTAAAATCAAGACACTTGCGGGACAAAAAGAAGGGTTGGTTGGTGGCGGGGAAAAAATAGAAAAAGTCGACAATTCCTACCGCCATGGCATAGCGCCTACCAACCGATAATTCGGTGCCCCTTTTGCGAGGTGGTGTGCTGGGGGGCGATTCCATCGCTAGAGTGAGTAGTGGGCCGGTAGGGTACTAATATTAGATGGTTTTGAGAATTTTGTCGAGAATTCTCAAAAAGAATCTCAAAATATTTTCCCAAAAATATTCCCAAAACAGGCCAAAATAGGGTATATTTTGACCAATATTAGGTACAGAAATAGATGTTCGTTTTTTTTCTTCTTTTTTTCTATCGCTTCGTCTTTGTTATATCTTTCGTACAAACCCGACTATGCTACCATCACTAACACGGTTGCACCCAGACAATCTATTACATTTAGGTACCCTAACTTATGATACAGAGGAAGTATAGACTATGTTGCTTCCTGGGAATACTACAGGTGAACGGTATACAGCAGTGTATCTTCTGTGGAAGTCTCGCTGCTGTGTAGTCTACCTCCAGATCAAAGTCCCGCGCCCGCCGGACCAACAAGCGAGTGAGCATATGCTAGAGCAATTAACTCTCTCTCTCTCTCTCCACACACACACATACGCACCTGGGGTTTTCGTGCATGCCGTAAACGTGATGCTGTAATGTTGAGGCTACGTTTTGCTAGGCCCGACCAACAACTAACTATTAGCTACATGACAGCAAACCAAAGCGGGTTGAACGAACAGGTGTCGAGAGTATCGCGCCTGCACGTCACAGCAAAAATGTATCCGATCCATGCTCTGCAGAAGTATGAAGACCTACCTCATCAAGTCTGGAGCCCACACAGTCATTACCCACCAGGAAAGGATGTGTGCTACGCCTTTGTCCACGTGCGAGAGGTGTAGTCTAGTCTACGAGAGCGCATTTTTGTTCGGAAGGACGTGAACGGAACACGAAACACCGCCGAGTAAATTTCTCCCCGCCCCGGGATTACTCGCTGCGCGTAGTAGGCTTGCAAGAACTCGAACATGGGGCCGCCCGTGCCGTACTTAACCGCGCGTCTGATCTCGTGGCCTTGAGTTAGCGGGTAGCTCTCCCCGTGCCCGCTGCGGTGTTACGGCGAGTCTCGGTGTGTGATTGATGCCAAGACTTCGCGAATGACAAGACATTTGAGAACGGAACTGGCCAGCTACTACAGCAGTGTCCCTCCGGGTGCATGCAGTGTGATCATTCGTGTACGAAAAGTATCAAATGTCAAGTGTCAGGTGCAGCATTAGAGTACAGAGCGTGTGACGTGCGACCATGAGCTAAAAAGAACGCGACAACAGCCGTGTCAACGCCACGGTTCGGAGGGCCGACAGCAGCCCTGGGATAAAAAGGTGAATGGTTGCTGCGGCTGGCACAGCGCAACAGCAAAAAATATATTTTTGTCTTCTCTTTTCACACAGTACATTCCCTTCATTCCACGAAGAAAACACACTCTCGTGTCCACACCAGCTGGTCCACACTCGAACACATGCTGTTCGTTCCTGGTTGATACTAACTAACCATGCCATGTATCAGTGGCGGACCTCATCACTATCCGTGGCCTACATGATCCGCCTACTACTGACTTATTAATTTGTTAATCGAAGTGTGCATGCACTCTACTCTTAAATCGATTCGCTTGGTTGGGAGGACTGAAAAACAAACTCACATGGTGTGACCCCACACACACATCCCTGCCGAAGTCATCTAGTTTCACACCAAATTTCATACACGTACTCAGCTGCATAAAACCACCTTCAGCACACATTCACGCAGCACCATTTACGTCAGTGGTACGCGAAGAAATGGCGCTCAATCACAAAGTCGACTGTCTTTTGTACGTCCAACAACATCAAGCACCCAACATCGTTCTCGTTAGTGCCCGTCGCCAAAACGCCAAACCCCCGACTTTGTGGGAATAATGGGCAACAACCACGAGAAAAGCGGTAGCACTATCTGTGCGTCTCATCACACCAGGCCTCGAAACTCCTCACGACCATCTAGTACGTACGTATTATGTTCGTGTACACCCCCTTCCTTCGCCAACCCCTGGCAAGGATTTTAACGTACTAAAGGAAATTAACACTATACGCACACAGCTACAAAGCTACCGACAAATATGAAGGCAGAGTACACACAAGAAAGAACGAAACACGCAGGAGAAGTCTATGAAAAAAACAAAACAGGGAGAACATGAAAACAAAAAACGCGCCACCTTTGTCCACGTACCACGGACGCAAGTGGCGGGGCTACCTCCCAGGTTCATGAACACCTAGCAGGACGCGTGGTCGAGGGCGGGGGTATATCCATAGGTTCTCCATAGGTTACTATATAGATATTACCCCGAGTCGCATTCACTGCATGCACTTCCCAGTTGAGAAATTGGACAACCAACCACATTCTTCAAGACGCAAATATAGGAAGTAGCCCCCCGAGAACCCCAGTTAAGGAAATCTCTCAAGTAGCCCAGATAATCCCAGTAAAGAAATTAACAACCAACAACATTACTCGAAAACTTCAATCAATTAAGCAGGTCGCGCTCGTGATGCCCACGGTTCAGGAACCTGATGCTTCCAAGAACATTCCACCATTGGAATAAAAGGACACGCATATGAACCCCCCCCCCCCGTACACGACCCCTTAAAAACAAAATCACACGATTTTTCGCGAGTACTGTAACGCCGCGAAGGAAACTGGGCCATGGTTGTGCCGTGCGTGTGCAAATCTACCACAGGATGGGTGCAAGAAACCATCCAATGAATACACAAGTCAGCAACCCCCGACCAGAGCTTCGACAGGGTGGTTCAATAGCTTCGCAGCTTGAGAACCAGCAAGCCACGTCAGCAGGGGCATGTCGCAACGCAGGAAAGAATTAACCAACTCGTTTGTTCCAAGCCAGATCTTACTTCTGACACCGACGAACCACACATGTACACATTGTGGAAAAACAACTGGAAAATACGAACCCGCAGCGAATTACTGAACTCGTTGTACACGTGTGTGCCAGCACCTAGAAAGTGACCCCCCCCTTCTCGCCGTACAGCAATTCCCACTACCGTCACTCCATCAACGAAGAGTCTGCCAGCGCTGCCTCTGCCTTTGCCATCGCGGCCTTTGCCTCTACCTCAGCCCTAGCCGCTGCCTCCGCCGCCCACTGTGCCACCACCGGCGACAAGCTTGTGTCCTGTCCTCCCTTCAGAGTGGTGGTCGCTTTCGGCGACACCGCCGCTACTGCTTGCACCCCCCGCTGATCGTGTCGCTGCTGCTGCTGCTGTCGTGATTTTGCACCCTCCACCAGGGTGGCTAGCTTTGCCTGCAGCTCCTGGCTCGCCCTCTCCGCCTCCGTTTGTGCCTCCTGCCGCAATTTCTTGGGCAGAAGAAGCTCGCGCTTCGAGTCTAGCCTCTCCTCTTCCGCTCTCGTCTCCGCGTTCGCGGCCCACATGGCCGCCACCGGGGACAGCGGCGCAGGGGATCCCCCCCCCACGGACCCCCCCCGTCGAGACGTCCCCCCCACCCCTGCCCCGGAAGCACGCCTCCCCGTCGTGGGGCAACAAGCGGGGGACGGCGGCGGCGTCGAGATCTTCGTCGATCTTGCGGTCGGAGATGATGTCGGCGATGATGACGCCGAGGAGAAGGCGGAGCAGGAGTGCACGGGGGAAAGCGGGTTCTGGTAGCGCTTGCGCTGCTGCTGCTGCTGCTGCTGATGCTGCTGCTGCTGGGAACCCGGCTTTCTCCTCGCCGTCGACGCTGGTACGGCGGCTCCCAGCGTCGTCGGGGGCAAGGGGGAGCGGTAGCCGTGGATCTTGCGCTGCAGGTCGAACGCCGTGACCAGAGGAACGCGGACATCCGGGAAGCGGGAGATGCCACGGAGAAGGGAGTAGGCCGTCGTCAAGCCGGAGTTTTTTGCCTCCTGTGAATTGGCGTTGTGTTTCGGGGGGGGGGGGCATTTATCGCGCGAGGGTGGGCAGAGGGGCGGGGAGTAGAGGGAGACAAATACAAGAGCGTGGGGGGGGTGGAGAAGAATAACGACGAGAGAGGAAGGAGACGGAAGGCAAGAGTCAGTCAACAACGGTAGGGGCAACACAAGGGGCGACAACACGGGGGAAGAAAACAAAGAAAGGGGACCCGCGACAAACATTCAAAACAAGTAAATCGGGTGTATCGAGATCAGAAAGGACGCCCCTGAAAACGGTACGTTCAAGGATGGTCTCGAAGATGTTCATGGACAAAGAAAGATCACGTAGCCAGGATGAAGTGGAAGTAGGTCGCGGTGGCCAAGAACATGTCTCGTCTTGGGATTGCGCTACCTCCCCCCCCCGGACAACGCGGAACCCCCCATCGCCCCCCAGAAAAAAAAATCGAGTAGACGCCACCAGCCGCGCGTGCTGAATAAACGTTTTTCCGGTGGCAATCGGGGGCGCTTTGGGGGGCAGGGGGGGGGCACCTTAGCGCCAGTCCACGGGGAGATGGGCACCCCGTTGTCGAGGGTCAACCCGAAGCTGTAGACGTAGTTGTCCAGGAGGACGACCGTGTTCATGGGCCGGCCCAGCCGCCGCAGGTCCTTGACGCAGAGGTTGTGGTGACGAAGGCAGGAGTCGCGGTAGAACCGCTCGGCGAAGATATCGCCGGCTGGGTCGAGGAGATCAATGATCGCGTCGGCGTAGGACTTCCCCGAGGCGGTCCAGACCACGAGCTGCAGTTGATGAGGCGTCGCCGAAGAGGCGGGAGGGGGGGATCAGTGAACGGCAAAAGAGCAGCGGG